TGGAGTCGTTTGTTTTAGGTACCAGCTGGCGCAACAAGCCTGCCTAGCAATGGAGGGGTTGGGTGGTTTTGGTAAGGAATGGAAACCCATGTAGCCCGTCTGCAGCTCTTGACACTTAAAACATGTCTCTGCTAGAAGTTTCAGTACTTAAGCTGTTGAATAAAGAACTAGCTAGGGGAAGACAATCGTCTCACGATGACCATAACAATTTTTTTCCACTTCTTAATTTTCTCACTAGTGAGTCTGACTCGTGAATGGAGAGACAATTTTTAACGATGACCAAACCAAATTGTTTGGCAAGTTTTCCCCCCGAGTGACTAGTGCTATTTTCATTTCCAAGGGCAGAAGCGTCTTTGCATTTTAACCATGGTGTCTTTAAAAGAAAACATAGTTTACATCCACAGTCCTCACTTAGATCGGAGCTCTTATACAATCTCTTTAACGCACTCACCGGAATTTTTAGTTACCAAGGAAAGTCATATGTTACATACAAAGCACAAGAAGTCATGTAAGTCTATGTCCTTCTATATAAATAAGAGAAAACTAACCTTCCATTTGAGCAGAAGCCGCATTAGGTATCACAGAAAACAACGGAATGAGGGAAAACGAGCAAAAGTAAAAAGAGAACATCGCCGATTAGTGGGGAGAGACTGTTGGAGAACTCCGTGAAATTGAGGAACCTGACAAACACTGTAAAATATTGAGTCTTTTTCTAAAGCGATAGGTGTTCTCAAAAACCATTAATTTATATGCAATATTAAATGTTAATTATCTATGAATTTCTTTTCAATTGTGTGTGTCGCTTCTGGCAGCCAGACTAATAAGAATATCAATCAAACCTGAGTTGATATGTCTGATCAGCGCGTCTGTTGTATTGCATAGTTAGTAAACAATCTTTGGAAACTGAGAGATGCTTACCATTTACACAAACCACCCAGGTGGAAATCTGGTGCATAGATATAAAACTATTGAAAATTTTCACCGAGACCATAACGTACCTTGTTTACACCCCCAAATTTGGTACAACCCTTTTCTTCGATTTCTCTTGGGACGACTCTATTAAGAGGTGAAAAAATTGGAAACAATGGTGATGAAAAATGGGGGGTCAAACGAGGTGTATAATTATAATTATGGTCTCGGTGAAAATGGTAAATAAAATTTCACGTAGTTTGAGAACGATCCGCTACAAATTATATCCAAATCGGCTGCACAGACTGAAAAGAGTACAAAAATTACTTCGTCTTAAATCTTCTCTGAAGGTTGGAATGACACAAACAAGCGGAATGTCCAGCCCCTCCAGTTTTCCCAAGTAAATGATAAATTACACAGGTGTTGAAACTTCTTTTTCATCCAGACTCGGAATCATCATTCGTTTTGTCTAGGTATGGAGTTTTTTTGTAAGTGCATTAAGCACCAGATTACTGTAGAAACAAGCGGACTATCAGCCCGAAATGCATGAGTTATACAGGGGGGTCATGGGCTATTGACTCAGGGGCCATGAGGGCGAGAGGAATAGTTGTTTTAGGAAAATCCAACTAGGTGCTCAAAAATATCGAGACAAAACAACTTTAACTAGCAAAACGCTATTCAGCCGCCATTGTTTTGGTTTTCAAAGCCGGCGCTTTTCGCTACTAGTGGGCTATAACATTTTAGCCTAGTAGCTATAGTAGCTCAACCAATCAGAACGCAGCATTGATAATAGACCACTAAAGTTGGATTTTACTAATGAAAGATATTTGCACCACTCTTGCAGTATTAAAAAACCAGTTACGTTGGGCCTTAGATAATTTGCACCTCGTGACATTGACTTCTATATTTATATACTATATATTTCTATAATTGGCCCTTCCACCCGGCCCTGGATATATCATGTGCTTCTGAAAACAAAATTATAACCAGGTAACATTTCTGGGATCACAAAAAATCCCGCCAAAAATATCCTAACTCGAAAATCCAACTCGAAAATCCAACTGGAAACCCAACTCGAAATCCTGACTCGGTAGATAGGCAACCTCGTCTGCGCATTGCATTTTGCTTGTTCTGTGTTAAATTCAGGGTAAGGATTTACTAACGATGACAAACACAATAACCCGAAGCCAGGATTCTGACATCGATGTAAAGATTCGAACGAGCTCCTGATATACATCGCTATGTATACGGCCCTAGACGTAAAATTGATGGACACAAAAATTCCACCATTTTTAAATTCTCTTGATAAATTCTCTTTAAAATTTTGTTGAGCTTGCAACTTTTATTACATTATAAAGTCAATAAACGCCTCCTTTGAGTCTCCTGTCTATACGCCCCCACGGGGGTCCCAAAATTCAATAAAGGTCCTAGCGGGCGTCCGAGCTTCTAATGGATCAGCAAGAACCTTGAATGCGCAAAATATTTTAGATATAAAAAGAGCGCAGTCAATCAGATTTAGCGAAGAAAACTCATTATTAAACTGAGATTGTATTTCAGATTTTCTAATTTCACTCTTGAATGAAAAAATAAAGTAGCAATGGAACACAACACGAAATTTTAGGTGGCAGAAAAGTACGTGGATGGAAACCATTCACATAACTGCATCCTATCCTTCCCAAGGGAGATACTTCCAAAGCAAAATCACTCTAGAAATTTATTAGCTAAAATATTATCTCGTGAATCAAATTCGGTTTCCAAGTATCATTTGAGTGCGTGGTTCAAACTCCGATTCAGTCTCCTCTGGAACCGATTGATCACAATTTGAGAAAGATCATCCCAATCTGAAAACTTTCCCAACCCTCTTTATGACTAATTTAACCCTATGAGTACATTTCAGTTCCCTGAGTTTCTATTTTTCCACGTTAACACTGACCGTTTCTAATTACCGATACAGGGCGGTCCTTATTTTATTTTCATTACTACAGTAGTTTGAAATTTGTAAACTCTTCAAGGACGCTTATAAGAACTTGGAAAACAGACCACGTAGAAAAGCTAATATACTCGCATCACCAACTTCGTCCTCTTCAAGTGCTGATCTAAGTAAAGCACAATAATGAAAAAAAAAAAACAAGTAAAAACTGAAAACTCACCTCCAATCTCAAAATAGGATAGTTTTGTTAGCGGGTAGAGTAATAGCGAGACTGGATTACAGTAACCAATAACTTTTAATCCTAGTTTCTCATTGTGTCTTTGCTTCTAATGAACAATGTTTAACTTTAATTCAATCTAGACATAGTCTATTGTTTATCCACAAAAAACGAAGAGAGAAAAAGAGTTTCCTTAAACTACACTTTCTTTTTGGTGCCGACGGTAAATTAGCGCCGAAGATCGGTTTCTTTTTACTGCACCAAAATATATCCCATTGCCTTGATATGCTTCTCGCCATTATCTGGCCCCAACACACTAGCCTCGTTTCCGCATGTGTTGTTGTTATCATGATCTCCTCCAGTACCAAACCCAATTCTAGAGTCACAGGTTCTGCAATCGCCGATGTTGTCACCAAGGATACCGATCCTGGCTTTGGAAAAACGAGAATCTTTAGACACAGCATTGAACCCTTCCTTGTTACAGATTTTCTGTAAGGAGGCCTCAGAACCAATCAGTGACTTCCACGTGTCAAGACCCAGTGAGGTGTGGCGGTATTGCCCATCAGCGATCAGAGAGTACAAGGAGTTCGCTTGCTTGTTGATAACAATAAACTTGATCTGCTGGCCAATCTTCATACCAAGGCAGATCTTGGAGAAGGATGAGCTCCAGTAGGAGGGAAGTTTGGTCTCCTGTGAGTCAAACCCAGTCTTCCCTCCGTCAAGGTTAAAGGTTTCTTTGTTGCTCCAAAAGGCGTCATGGTAGTGAAACGTTTGCTGTGGTAGAAAGGAGGAAGAAATAGAAAAATTGTCCTTTAAAAAGAAAATTTCAAAGGTTTCTTTTTTCTTGTAAAGACTACATCCTTCCCGGAGAAGAAAAAAAAAACCGAATTTGCAATGGAAGATCAATTACGATGAAAAGAATATATACAACGTCCTTGTTTCTCCAGCTTTATAAAATGAAACTAGCCGCAGCAGGCGAAATGGCGTTAAGAGGCAGTCTCCCTAAAAGCGGTCCACTCGATTTCGCGACAAAAAATACTTTTCCTTTTTTTTTTTGTCGGTGAAGAGGCTTTAGTAGGTGTATACTAAAATCGCTATTTTTGTTTTCAAATTCTTATTCTTAGCTCTGCTACAAGCCAAAAACGAATTGAGTCCGTCCCGGCTTCTCAAAGAGTGTTTCGAAGACTAAAATTGATGGATTTTGAAAAGCGCGTTGCAAACAAACCAATGCCCGCACAAAAAATCTGTTCGATTCAGTTTTTTAAGTTAACCGTCGATAGTTCACAGGCTAAATAAAAATATCTTTGATCAAAACATGTTCAAGTTACAGTGGTTCAAAGAATACCTATTTTGCAGGCTTAATCCAAACTCTGAAAGTAAGGAAGATTTGAGGGAAAATATCTCAAAAGTTGCGGCCTAAATCTGGTTTAAAAATCATAGCAAAGTAAAGTTTTAAGCTTATTTTTTGGGTTTATAGGCTCAGACTTGCGGGTATCTTCTGGGATTGCAACCAACAGTAGATTATAATCTGCCATTTTGCGTATTTGCATAATTACTGGCCGTGTCAGATGTCGTGATTGTACAGGTTAAAAGTTCCATGAAATTGCCTCTTTTGACTCTTGAATTCGTCTCCGGCCTCTAAAAGAAAGAAATTAAGCTTCTTTAAGTACTTTTGAATCGAAAGAGATATACTAACAGGGATGGTCATGCATGTTACTGATAACCACGATCAACTGGCGGGCGCCGTCGTCTTGTAACTACCTGCACTGAACAGTAAACAATGCTTTTAATAGAATTCTCGAGATCAGAAGTTGATCCAAGCTCTCTAAGTAATGAAAATAAATATCACTACCCCGGGATACAAAACATGTACAAGAAAGGCAACGTAGAATTTTAAGTTCTTTCCGCAATTTCAGAGTGAATTTCACCGCGGTGCATAAAGGT